GGAATCTCTGTTTGAAACTCACTTTTTAAGGAAGTTTCTCAATAGATTCTACATGGGAGAGCCCGAAATGCAACCCTCAACAATGGGTTAAACCTGTACTGTCATGAAGGATGTACAGCAAAACAGAAGGTCGTATGTACAGTTGTACAAGATGTATAGATTGGAGATCCTGTTCATCTGATATTCGTCATATCCACGGTAACCCCATCCGACTAACCCCATCCGACAGTGGGCACGTGTGGTCTAGCGGTGATTCATGATCGTGAGGTTTGTGGGTCCGTGCTATGCGCGTGTTGCCCTTTGAGTTAGGCGCTTTACCTCGGTCTTATTTGTCTCGGTCTTATTGCTGTTCTAAGAAGTGAGGCCCAGTTTAAGACCAGTCCACTCCTTCATGTCAGCCCACATTTTCAGCTGTCTTCCCCTTTTGCGGCTACCGTCTGTCCCACCCTTCAGGATTGTGTTTGCGAGACTCTTTTACCGTCTGACCAAGTGTTCCAAACCAGAGAGGTTTTCTCTTTTTCATTTCAGTATCCCGCGTACAATTCATCTTAAAGTCATTTATTCTCTTCTCCATCTTCGCCGAGGTAGTAAAACTGGGGGACTCATTCAAGCTTCTCGCCATCTACCGAGGCTTTGATTTCTCCTTCTGACCCCAACTTCATAACTTTGCTTTTGGCTGCGATTATCTAAATATAATTCCGTAAATCTCTGTCTGTTTGTCGGGCTGGTGTGTCTGTGTGTTTGTCTGTACATTATATTTCGATTATCTCCAGAACCGGGCACCGTAAGAAGTTGAAAATCGGCGGGTGTATTGCTCGCGACTACAGAATGTGCAGTGCCAAGTTTGAAGTTGTTTGGAAGAGGCGGTTCTCGAAAAAGCTGCAAAAAAGCACCATTTTCTGAGGCAACGTGGCAGTATTACAGCTCTGACCACCACGTACTTTCGTGCTTTAACGTCAATGTTTGCTAAAGCGTGCGCGCTCAAAATGACGCAACAATGAAAAAAGGACGGGCACACGCATTATAGGGCGGTTCCATTGTCCAGTATGGGTGAATAGCACTGCGTACATGTTTCCTTATGTTCACGTACTTGGCCGGGTAGTTGCACGGGCACATGCATTTTTGCAGCTGAGTGTACGTTCAATCTGTAAGTGTTAGTTCATGATCAACCTGTGAAAACAACACCATTGAATATCTTGTGCGTTGTTTATATATATGAGCAGTTCTCTGTCCCTCTCAAACAGCACTTTTTTCGACGGGCCCCTTGCCTCTCAAACAGCACTTTTTTCGACGGGCCCCTGGCCCGTCGAAAAAAAGTGTAGTGTATGTAAAGGATAATGCCCGAGGTACGCGCCATTCGTGGGTAAGAATAGCCCGAGGGCGAAGCCCGAGGGCCATTCTTACCCACGAATGGCGCGTTACCGAGCGGCATTATCCGACTTACACTCCACCTGTGACGTCCCCCTATTGTTTCTAGCGCTACATTATTTTGCACGAATGGAGCGACTTTGTTTCATACAAAGACACAAGCTTTGTCTTATTGCATAACTGTAAACTGCATTAGTATAAATGGAACTGTAGCCTACAGAATTGTACTGCGAATAATAATAATATGTCCTTACGTAACCAATACAATGCTGGATTCTAGGCGCGCTTGGTATAAAATGCTAAACCCCGCCCAGGCACCATGCATTCGTTCTTGAATAGTGTGCTGATGACACACAGTGTTTAGTCTCATGACGTTGAGGAAATAATGCTGTACAGTGGAATCATAGCGGGCCAGGAAACCGTCTTTGATAGTTGCTGAAACTAGCTCCGTGGATATATCGGATGATAATTTACTGGCCGCTTCAAACTTCGCCTGGGACATATAAAAGTTCATTTCGACACTCCAAATGAATATGAAGATTGCATGTATGAGTATAAAGGTAAGAAGTTACCCTTTTTGTGAAGTAAAAATAAGCTAATAAAATCAAAAATTTAAATGTTGTATTTTGAGCATGATAATGTCAGATACATTAAGCTTTATTGTTTAATTTGCTATCTGATGAAGTTTATTCAGAAATCGTGTTTGCACTAAGACTGTTCTAATTCGAAGCTCTCTGTGTCGTCATTTTGCAATCGTCAAAGCTACCCTGTGACTTTTACGGCTTTGTAAGACTTAAGTGGATTTACAGGAATATGACCTTATGCTTCCGTCTAATTGTTTGACCCACTTTCTGATTTTGTTTTCTTCTAATTCTGGCTTTACAGACTGTGGATAGTGTCACGAAGAGGGTCCAAACTAGCGGGCAATCTCCAGTCGGACTACTTCGTAACCAACGCAACTCGAGACTATAACTACTCATCATTGGACAAGGAAGGACGAGCTAAAACCACCCAAATTGCAAGATTAAGATTTTGGTGCATTTTTAAAGCAAAACGGCTACAAGTCTTCCGGGTTTACATTGCACGAACTTGTGATTTTCCTTCAACTGTTCTTGGACATCATGGAAAAGACCTACACATTTTTTTTCAGGATGATGAGTTCTTGCCGATCAAGAATTTCTAGGACTGCATACTAGGCATTGAAACCCAGGAACAAGATCGAGATATAAACTGTACTGCAAACCTTGTCAAAATATTTGCTTTAAAGGGAAAATACATTTGCAAACATCAAAAAAATAAAACTACCAAATCATTTTGAAATATCCTGCTGGACTGTTAGTGAATGACAGTGTAAAGCATCCTGTAAAATCATGGCACCTGGTATACTGTCATTTTCAAGAAAAGTGGTATTTTTGTATCAATTTCCAACGCTGATCGGCTGATCAGCGTTGGAAAAAAACTGGCTTTTTTTTCAAATACTGGCCCCAATTGACCATCGCACTTGTTTGCAATCGATTACAAACCTATGAACTGGTACGAGCCAGCTAGACTGGTTCCCTTACCTTACAATTCCCCAATGTATGTAAACTGCTCTGTTTCTTCTTCAATGGATTCAGGGAACCGGACTACAGGAAAATGATTGTTTTTCTTGGTTGTTATAGCATTTTCGAACCCAAAACCTCAAAAAAGTCAGTGTAACTATATTTGCTATATATTTCCAACCCCCCAATTCCATCCATTTCTGAAAATTACAGCAAAAGCAAATGATGTATATTCCCTTTAACTGTGAAACATTTATATCGTTGAAACGTTTATATTGTTGCATGTAACATGACTATATACGAACATTCTGTACAAGAAAAAAAATGGTTCTTGACTTTCGCCTTAACACTGTAAGAAATTGTATAAGAAAATGCATAAAATTCTATATGAGAAACGGTGAAGCATGCTGTATAAGAAACAAAAATGGTTTTGACTTTCACGTAATCGTACGAATGATGCATAAAATTCCACTTGAGAAACGGTGTAGGACTAAAGGGAAAATTCTGTGCGAACAAAAATGGTTGTTGACTTACGTATTAAGCATTGTACGAAATATATAAGAAAATGCATAAAATTATCATTGAGAAACGGTGTAGTAAAGTTGCAACTGTGCAAAGATTTAACTGTGTCATTTTTGGTGTTTCTTTATTAACCGCTCCATTATTTTGTAGGAATGGAGTGATGGAGGCATTATAACCCTCCCAAAGAATGGAGAGGTATCGCCTCCAACGCTCCACACGTGCAAAATAATGGAGTGCTAGAACAATAGGGTGACGTCACGGGTGGAGTTTAACTCCAATGCATCGTGTCCACACTTGAACCATTCACTGATCTGATCTCCATACATGATTTGCACGTTGAGCTGCTTTGGGCATGGCTTTAATGGCATTGAACATTCCTCTGCTGACAATTAATCTCCTAATTTGGTCTGTACACAGACCAAATACAGCCGTAGGCTTTCTTAAAATTTCTAAAAATTAATAGTTATATATAATAAGTTATATAAGGAGTACTTTCTGGTCATTGCGGTACTTCTCACACAGTACCCTGGAGGTTGAGTATTTTTCCACTCTACTGCGTTCCTCTCCGAAACCCAGCCCGCTCCTCTGCTATGATCTCCTTAGACTCGGGGTCTGTTAAGAATGATGCGTAATAGGATCTCGCCTTGGTCTTGCTTGAACAAGCTTTATTGTGCACAATTTTTGTGATTGCTCACGTATCCTCAAAATGCACGTTACTTAAACATTAAAAGTTTTTTCTTTAATCCATGGTTTAAAGGTAGAGTATATCTTTTGCAGCTATCCTTTTTTGGATAGCTGCAAAAACAACTGACGAAATTAAAGAAGTGGAGTTCCAACTTTTAAACCAAGTGCACTTGGTTTAAAAGTTAACTTCACTTCTTTTTGGCATGCTTTCATTTTTCGGAAAACAAAAGATACGTCTTAAGAAGCAATCTACGAATGGATGCACACAAGCTTTGACACAACGCGTGAGCAAACGCTAAAATTCGTCGGTTCAGTTAGTGACATCTCGTAGCTGCAGTCGGTTGAATGAGAATTATGTCCCTGACGCTGATTTTTGGCGTGTTTCAAAACATAATTCGTCAACTTTGCAATTGAATTCGAGATATTGTAAAATATTGTTTTCTTAGAATATAAAGCATTTCACTGAGCTTGATCAATGGCAAAGGATATAACTGTACCTTCAAAGAAAACTTAATAGCTCTAACGGACACCTCAATATTTCAAAACATCTGCAACAATTACCACATTTGAAATTGTCATGGGTTTAAATCTATATTTTAAAATGACTCCCTGAATATTTTAAATCATTCATTTCTTGCTAAACAGAGAAAAGGGAAATGAGACACACCGATTTTTCCTCCTTAGTGAAACATTGAAACATAAGTGTAATGAAAATTTACTCCTTAATTGCAGTATGAATAATCATACCCAAATGATTACTGCTGTGGTTTGGGCCTATTAGATTCTAGAATGTAAGAAATACTGCAAACGATTACTTACAAATGATTACTGCTGTGTCTTTTTGTACTTTTTTATAATTAAATGTATTATTTTTTTTCAACCTAGACTGAAGGAGTATTGCCGTCTTCGCAGCTCCCAGGCTGAAAAAGGAGATGCTTCTTAAAATGTACTGTGTGAATACAAACGATAACAATATGTACACAGAGCACATTGACCGGGAAGGAGATCAGCATTGCATTATTGTCTGAGGAAAAAGGTTGGATCAGTTATCATTGCTGTATTTAAATCAACGTTGTTTTATTTGCATAAGGTGGCTTTTATTGCATTAAGGTGGCTTAAATTGGTGTGTTTTTAAATTTTATTTTGAGAATGTCTTTAAATTTAACATTTGTTGCACAGTGATTGGGAAAGATTTTGTGGTTTGGGCCCTTTTAGATTCTAGATTGTAAGAAATATACAGTGTGCATAAAGAAAATGGAAACAAAATATAACGCAAAGTCAGCTGTAGATAATATAGGTATGGTTTGAAATATTCGCCTTTCGACTTTAAAATGAGACATTTAACATGCAAATCTGATAAATTTTGTCAGAGTAATGAGTAATTTTTCAAGAGAGGTCAAATCAACCATGGGACCAAGTTTTCAATTTTAGGCATTGGGATAAAGGTAGCCTCTGTTTGGCGATTAGCGAGTAAACACAATTCTAAAACCCTTTTTTTTTTGCTGTTCACCTCGCTCTAAAAAAAAATTAAAAATTAGCATGTAAACCTGTAGGCCAAGGCAAAGTAGGCCAACTTTGTCCCGATGCCTACAGTTAAAAACCCGGTCCCATTTGATCTCCCTTGGAAAATTACTCATAAACTCTGTCACAAATTAGCAGATTTCAACATATGATGTCTCATTTTAATGTGGAAAGGCGTACCTTTCAAACCATACATGTTTATTATGTTGGCTACACATTCTACGTCTGGCATTCCATTTTTGTGTGCATTTTTTATACACACTGTATATAATCCTTAAATAATAATTTCTGCAATTCTGGTAACCAGCGTAGCTGAACTAACGAATTAGTGCAACTGAGCGCGCGTTCGCTGAGGTTTGTGTAGAAATATAGCAATTTCAAATTTCGATTTTTCTGGATGAAACTTAAAAATAGCAAGGGAAAAGCGGTCTTAATTGAGGGGCTTGCATGCAAGTTTCTTGCCCAGTCAGAACATTGGCATTCAGTGCGTTTGATTACTTCCCCCGCGCTTACTCGTGCAAGCTCGACAGCGTTCGATTTACCTATCACGTGACTTCCTGCGCTTACTCGAGCCTGGCCCAAGTTATCGACTCGCCCAACCGGTTACTTGGGTAAGTATCCCATAAGGCCACGCAACGTCCGGCTGGCGCCTCTCAGGCCGTGTCCGAAACGGGCTTCCACGGAGCATAGAGCCAAAAAGCCCCTTGGAGCTCTAAGCACGGAGCCTACAGTTACGAATTATTATCAGCGCGTCTTCGCGTATTTTCACCGGGCGTGGACGTGCTCTAGATAGTTAATTGATTCAGATGCAGCCTGTGCCATGGCAAAATGTCTGTCATCATGCAAGGAGCCAGGCGCGAGTAAGCTGGGGGAAGTAATCGAACGCACTCCTTATATTAGTAATATCTCTGTTTAAACTTAAAACTAATTTCATTAGAGGAGGGAGTTGACAACTGTACGAAGGGCGCCATTTCTGTCGCGTCTGGCTGAGTATTTCTGTTGGGTGTACATGACCATTGACTGATGTGTTCTGCAGAAATACCTCGGGTAGGCAAGAATATGCACAAAGTAATCCATTAAAAGTTAAATATGGGGAAAGTGAATCTTGCACACATCAGGAGGCATCCCTTCTGATGCATGGAACTGTAGGCTTGACGTGTACACTCACGGTTGGATCTACAAATATCCACGGTTTACCAAGAATCATGATTGAACCGTCGAGATTCGGGGAGGGAATTGGCTTCCTAAAAAGAAAAACACTACAATTTCAGGACGGATTACCACGACTGGTCCTGAGGTTTCTCTACCAATTCACCTCGGTTTGTCAAGAATACGGACGGATTGTTGAAGAATGTCGACGGAATTACTAAGAATAATGATGTTAACGACGTGGTCGTCTGCGAGTGGGCCACGCCTGACCAAGGTTCTCCTCTGAATAAAGCACCAAATTCGTACATATTCTTGGAGATTCGTATCTCATTCGTGGTAGAAATCTTTACAAATTCGCTACAAATGTCCCACGGATATGCCCGGACAAGGTTTTGTGTTGAAACAAGTTTGGAACAGTTTTAAACTTCCGTAGCCCCTCCACGAATAACCAAGGAAGATGACGGATAACCATAAGTAACTAAAAAGGATGAATTACGGTACTCCCACGGGTTTATCACGAATTCTAAACCGTGGATATCCGTAGCTTCAAACCGTGAATTTGTGACTGGTGCCTTAGGTTTGCAGTAGTCAATTTGCAGTAGTATGACATGTATGTTGTAGTGTTCGTTATCTGTTCTGAAGTGTTTTATTGCAAAGCTATTGTGTATGTGTTTCAATATTTCAATAATAAACTACAGCCTAGCATATATTTTTGTCCGAGTTTTATTCCTTTACAAAATTGTATGCTTTATTTAATCCTTCCACTTCAATTTAAATGGCAAAGTTGCCTATTTGAAATTTGTATACGTGAATTTATAATTGCACTTTATTCTAAAAAGAATGTTCTCTCAAAGTGACATCAAAACAAGCCCCATCATTTCCATTAATCTTGTCCGGAAACTGGGCAACCCAGACAACTTTTTCCTCCTTGTGAACGAAAACAAGCCCCCCATAATTGCCATTAATCTTGTCCGGAAACTGGGCAACCCAGACAACTTTTTTCCTCCTGTGACCGAAAACAAGCCCCACATCATTTCCATTAATCTTGTCCGGAAACTGGGCAACCCAGACAACTTTTTTCCTCCTGTGACCAAAAACAAGCCCCCATAATTTCCATTAATCTTGTCCGGAAACTGGGCAACCCAGACAACTTTTTCCTCCTTGTAAACGAAAACAAGCCCCATCATTTCCATTAATCTTGTCCGGAAACTGGGCAACCCAGACAACTTTTTTCCTCCTGTGACCAAAAAACAAGCCCCCATAATTTCCATTAATCTTGTCCGGAAACTGGGCAACCCCAGACAACTCTTTCCTCCCGTGACCGAAAAGAAGCTCATAACTTTCATTGATCCTGTCCGGAAACTGGGCAACTCCGACAACCTTTTTGCTCCTGTGACCGAAAACAAGCCTCATAATTTGCCATTGATCTTGTCCGGAAACTGGGCAACCTTGATAACTTTTTTTTCTGCGTTTTGCGGTGTCATTCTTGAGTTGTGGGAAGAGTCTTCATAGTAATGAATTACGACACACTGGGACACGTATGCCGCTTAAACGATACATACCCCGCCGTGCGAAAACAACGCGCTGATTGAAGACATACCGTGTTGTTTATCGACTCTGACTCTCACCTATGCGTGTATCTCACGTGAGAGTCGAAAAACAGCGCGGATTTGTCATGAAAAAGCGCGTTGTGTGTCTTCAAGCAAGAAAGTGTGTGTCTTCTATAGGAGCAGTGTGTGTCGTTAAAGTAGCGTGTTGTGTTTCTTCAAACGACGAGGTGAGTGTCTTTAAGCAGCGCGGTATGTTTCTTAATACGGCACGGTGTGCGCCATTTGAAGATACACACCGCGCTGCTTTAACGAATCTCATGGTACTGCTTAACGACACGCACTGCGCCATTTGAAGACACACACTGCGGCTATTTGAAGACAAACACCGCGCTGCTATAACGTCTCTCACCGCGCCGCTTAACGACAAAGGTTGCGCCATTTGAAGATACACACCGCGCTGCATCAAGACACACCGCATTACTTAAACGACTCTCACCTCGCTATTAACGATACACGCCGCGCCACTTAATGCAATTTGAATATACACATTGCACTGCATCAATTAAGACACACACAAAGTTGCTGCAAACGACTCCCATCGCGCCGCTTAACGACACAACACTGCGCCATTTGAAGGCACACACCGCGCCGATGACACACACACTGCGCCATTTGAAGATACATACCGCACTGCTTCAAGACAACACTACGCCATTTGAAGACACACACCGCGCTGCTTTACGACGCACACCGCATTACTTTAACGACTGTCTCCGCGCCGCTTAACGACACAGACTGCGCCATGTGAAGATACAAAACACGCTGCTTCAAGACTGCTACAACGATTCTCATCGCGCCGCTAAACGACACACGCTGGGCCATTTAAAGTAACACACCGCGCTGCTTCAAGACAAACACCGCGCTGCTATGACGATTCTCATGGCGCACCATGTGAAGATACAAAACAACGATTCTCATCGCGCCGCTAAACGACACAACACTGCGCCATTTGAAGGCACACACCGCGCCGATGACACACACACTGCGCCATGTGAAGATACATACCGCACTGCTTCAAGACACACACCACGCTAATGTGAACGACTCGCATTGCGCCGCTTTACGAACAACACTACGCCATTTGAAGACACACACCGCGCTGCTTTACGACGCACACCGCATTACTTTAACGACTGTCTCCGCGCCGCTTAACGACACAGACTGCGCCATGTGAAGATACAAAACACGCTGCTTCAAGACTTGCTACAACGATTCTCATCGCGCCGCTAAACGACACACGCTGGGCCATTTGAAGTAACACACCGCGCTGCTTCAAGACAAACACCGCGCTGCTATGACGATTCTCATCGCGCCGCTTAACAACACGGACTGCGCCATGTGAAGATACAAAACACGCTTCTTCAAGACTGCTACAACGATTCTCATCGCGCCGCTAAACAAACACCGCGCTGCTATGACGATTCTCATCGCGCCACTTAACGACACAGATGCACCATTTGAAGATACACGCCCGCGCTTCTTCAAGACAACCACCACGCTGCTATAACGACTCTGACCGCGCCGCTTAACGACACGGACTGCGCCATGTGAAGATACAAAACACGCTGCTTCAAGACTGCTACAACGATTCTAATCGCGCCGCTTAACGACACACGCTGGGCCATTTGAAGACAAACAACGCACTGTTATAATGATTCTCCTTGTGCCGCTTAACGACACACACTACGCTAACTTGAAGACAACCAACGCGCCACTCAACGTTACATTCCGCTCTACATTCCGCTTTAACGACTCTCACCGCACCGCTTAACGATACACACAGCGCTGCATCAGGACACTCACAAAGCTGCTGTAAACTACTCTCATTGCGCCGTTTAACAATACATTTGAAGACGCACACCGCGCCGCTGACACACACTGCGCCATTTGATGACGCACGCAGCTTGCTGCCGCACACCGCGCCGCTTAACGACGCACACCGCGCTGCTTAACAACACATACTGCGACATTTGACGACACACACTGCGCCACTTGAAGATACATACTGCCGCTGCTTTCAAGTCTACTGTTAACGACTCTCATCGCGTACAGAACTACAGTAAGCATATGTATACGTATAAAACCAACAACACACAATCGAATAACTATGAACCAATTAATGGAAAAAATATTGCTTCGTGGTCGAGTTTTGAGGTACTTCAGCACAGTTAACTCTAGAACAAATTAACCTCTGCACTAAGGTGGATTAATCGAAAGTAATTAGGCGTAAATTCTGCAGGGACACAGAGACCCATGTTTTGGGACTTTTTCAAATACCAAAATTAAGATTTTGTTTGCACAAACTTTGTGAAATATTCACAAATGAAAGGCAAGAAAAAAATATTAAGATTCCACATTTGTTATAATAATTTGTTATTATAAACAATTGTTATAATAAACATTTATGAAGCGCCGGTATCCGCCGCAATCGGCGCTCATGGCTTTGACCCCAAACAATAAGAATAAAGAAGCGCCTGGTTGACTCGACCCTCTACCCATCAAGATGCAATCGTCACGGTCCATTGAATCATTATTTATTGAACTTGACCGATCTCAGGGTTTTCTGTCTTAATGTCTTTCACTTCTCAAAAAGCAGTGATGGCGAGAAGAACGTTTCAAAGTTGAACTTGGATTGACTGTGTATAAACCAAAGCCGGGAGCTGGTAGCCTAATGATGGAAATACAGCGCGCAGTACACTTCCAGCAGAGAAGAGCCTGTCATTCTTCTTACATTGTCTTGTGATCTGATCACGAAATGTTCGGATTATATTGTAAGGACACGGCAAACTTGTACATTCAACTGTATCAATGGTACAGAATGCCAGTTAGTGTTCATGTTGTTCTTGTCCACGGAGCAAATATTATGTGCTCCTCAGTCCTTCCAATCGGGATGTTGAGTGATAAAGCTGAAGAAACAAGAAACATAGATAACAAAATACACCGCCTAAGACTCCATACCATGAGTGACGTCTTCCACAGGCTTATGGTACCAGGCGATATTGTGGTCAGCAGTAGTAGGTCTGTGCATCGCAGGAGAAAATCAAGACCTCTTCCTCAAGAAGTTGTAGACATGACAACCAATCCTGAACTCGGTAATCCTTACTTTTAGGACCCCGTTCCTATATAGGAAGGGAAAGACTCACCAAAACATTGGACTAAATGACACTCAAACTTGACATTCTGACATTCCTTGACACATCTGAACAATTGGCAATGACACATTCTTGAATATCAGCAGGTTTAATTTTGTGGAAAGAGAGCAGGGCTTTGATTTATGAGGGAAATTCAGGGGTAAAAGACGACGATGACAACCAGAAAACGGACTCAAAAACCAAGATGGCAAACGTGAAAGCTTCATGTGATTGAAAGCTCAATGCTGATTGGCTGATAAGGCCAACAAAAAAAAGTCTCCGGTTTCTGGTGTGGAGCTTGCCCCAAAAGTACGGCGACGCGGCTTTTTTTTTTTTTTTTTTGGGCTTCAAATGTCGGCTGATGACTGCAAATGGTGCCCGACTAAACTTACTGCAAATATATGGGAGTCCAGAGAGGCCACATAAATCTTATTCTCGATCATAACCCCTTCTAAAAACAGGTTAAAATTGTGCAGCAGCAGAATTCCAGTCAAACCAGTGAGTTTGGTGGTTTTGAAACATCATCTTGTATTGAAAAAAAAACCTTTTTCATTTTGCCGACGCGCATGTCTACGGCGACGCGCGCGCATACCAGAAACCGGAAACTTTTTTTTTGGCCTAAAAAATAAACATCTTATTTATTTTTCATCTGGTTACCAGACCAAAAGATACAGGAGTAGTCAGAATCTTTTGGTCTGGGCTTTCACGCGTGTGAGAACTACAACATGCACGTCTGACCGCCAAAAAAGGGAGGAAAGTCACATTTTCTACAACTAACATGAGTTTATATGAAGAAAAAAGACTGCTTTAGCCTGCAAAAGTCACTTTGGTACTGGACAGTCATCTGCAAAAGTTAGTTTTGAACAGAACTTGTAAAAAATAGAGGTGTCCTAAAAGTAAGGATTACCTTGAACTCTGCCTATCTTCTGAGAGAGACAGAACTGATCACGATCAAGAAAGTGAGTCATTGGATAGTGACTCCTCCCTACATGTTGCTATTGTCTTCCTCTACCTGTTTAGGAACCCTCTCACCACATCTTTTAGGGAGTTCAAGTTCTAAACAAAGTGCCTCCAATTAAACTCGTCAATTTAAGTTTTTCCTTGATTCTGACTCATGTGACAAAGAACCCCTCCATGTGAAAAGTGCCTGGGTCCCACACAAATCATGCATCAGCCCTTGCGATTTATTGTTCATGTTGTTAGTTCCCCAGTCACCAATCCTGATCACTCACATCACGTGCTTGGTACCAATAAAAAATCAATCTATTACCGTGGTATAACTATGATTATTGCCCTTAAGTTTTTCTTTCCTGGGTAAACAAACTATCTACAGGGGAAGGAAATGGGCCACTCACCTTACCCCTTCCCATGAAAAGGCAAATGCCTGTTCATTGGGAAGGCGAGTGCCCATTTAAGGCGAGTGCCCATTTCCAGTAAGGCGAGTGCCCATTTCCTCGAGGAACACATACTCAACACAGCTCTAATGCCGCCTAATTACTTAATACGCCTAATTGAAGCGGGCTGGAACTCTCATTGTTGTAACCACAGTAAAAGATAGTGGATAATTACTGGTCCAGAGTGACAGCGTGACAGTGAAGCACTATATCTGTTACGGTCACACTTTGTTGACATGGTGGCACTTTCCTATGGAGCCAATGGGGCCCCACGGTCCACTGAGCACCATAGGAAAGCACACATGTAAACAAAGTGTGGGCGTCATCAGTACAGAGGCTTATTGTCATCTAAATGGAATATCATGGCATCATTCAATTATTAATTTGAATCTTTAATTAATTTGAATCTTTTTGGGGGGGGGGGAGAATGGGGATTGTGATTGGAAATGGGAAAGTGGTTGCACAAATCATCTATACTACAATTCAAGGAATCTCTGTCTGTCTGTCTGTCCGTCGATTATCTCCAGATCCGGGCACCGTATGAAATTGAAAATCGGCGGGTATATTTTTCGGGACAACAGAATGTGCAGTGCAAAGTTTGAAGTTGTTTGGACCAGCGGTTCTCGAAAAAGCTGCAAAAAGCAGTATTTTCTGAGGCAAACGTGGCAGTATATAGCTTAGAACATAACACCCGCACGCACTGCCGTTCTTTTTAATTGTTTACGTCATGTTAAAGCTAAAGCGCACGTGCTCAATATGACGCAAACAATGCAAAAAGGACGGACACGCGCACGTGCATTGCAGGGCGATACAATGTCCAGTGTGGGTTAATACTAATGGATCAATGGGTGAATAGCACTGCATACCATGTTTTCGTATGTACACGGGCACATTATTTTTGCAGTCGACTGAGCGACCATTGTAGGTGGTCGAACTTCAAACTTGGCAAAAAATTTGACGTAAGTGTGCGTTCAACCTGTGAAAACAACACCATTGAATCGCGTGCGTTGTTTGCACGAGCAGTTCTCCAAAACTCTGCAAGTATGCAACCTATACCAGCGGCAAAGCAATTTGCGTTTCCCGAACATGCACATTTTAGACGGGCACTGCACTAGTTTAATTAATTAGGCAACGGCACACCGTGCTGCCGCGCAAATAGCCTCAACGAAACAATTAAGGCGGCCGTACGTTTAGAACTTGACTTTTTTTTTTTTGTCTGACCGCCTTAATTATTTATATTTCAGGGTCAACCTAGTCAGAAAGCAGTTAGCAGCAGTCATTCATTTATTTATTTTGCCAGATACAATTCCATCTAATAATTGGGTCTCACTTTACTAGTACATTCAAGCACGGTTTCTAAACCATTTTTGGGAGCACGAATTCTATACATGGACCCAACTTTTGTTCCCTGCATGTCCTAAAAAGTCAAATGTAGCAGGGCAAATATGGAAGCATTTACTGTGAGAAAACACTGAATTTGTCAGACCAGTCTCAGAGGCTGCACAGTGATGTCCAGGTATGAAATTCTTTCCTTTTTTTTTAAACTGACGTTAATGTTCAATGTGTTTGATCCGCAGTATTTAAGTGTACAATATGACATTAAAAACATTAAATTCTTAACTATTCAGGTAACACTTACTTTAATTGCCTAACATATCCATACAGTCATACTACTATATCACAAATCATATGAAAATGGGGTCAATTAACAGCAAAGGAACTAATATACTAAATTTGAACACCTTGATTGGACTCCGCAAGAAGCATGATGCTTTACACTTTGACATTTTTGGTGTCCATTTTACACAAGATGTCAATGTTTTTTTTTCCTGATTTTCCTTATAAGAATGAGCATCCAACTCATTACGGTGGTGTCTGGTTGTTTGGAATATTAGACTTGATTGCCCATGAGCTAGGACATCTTGTAAGCGAAAAAAAAAGTCAACCCGTTAGGAATGATTTAAAGTGACCATTTGTCAGAAAATATACATGTACTTGTAAATACGCCAATTTGGGTCAATAAACTTTACAAAAATACCTCTTAATTTTTCTTTCTGGGAAAACTGATGTATAAACTATCATTGAGGTAAGGAGGGGGGAAAAAAATCTTATTTGGCTCCACTTTTACCATACAATTGACCATTCCAGGCCACTTTGAACAGGTTTGACTGCATGCGATCCATTACTTCCCTCTCCCTCTATAGCCGTACATTCTGGTGAAGCTCGGGCTTGATGTCAAATATGAGGTCGAAGAGCTGAGACAGGACTTGCTCCTTGTTCTTCGCGACACGAATGTCCATCTCGCTTATCTTGCGCCGCGTCTGCTCCTCAACTTCCTTAGCCTGATCGCCCTTGGTTCCCAGGTACTGAGGAAGAGAAACAAGGAAGAAAGACAAAGGTATCCAACTGCACACAATAATGTTGTTTTGGAGATTTATAGTCAAGATAACCCAAACCCTCCTCAATCCTCCAAAATCCTCCTTGTGGTTTTTTTGGAGGATTTTGGAGGATTGAGCCGAATGGTAATTTTTAGATAAGGATTTTGGAGGATTGGGGCTGAATGGTATTTTGAGGCAGGACTGTCTAACGATTTGAAGAATTTGAAAGGCGCTGTTGAAAATTTTTGGAGGATTTTGGATGGTTCCTAGCAAAAAAGGCCTTAGGGTATTAGGGTTAATCACAAGGAATAGTTAGTGTTTTCGAACATGTAAAACCAGCCTGATGCACTACTCAGCTTCACGCAACTTGCAGCCATGCTTAAAAAATCGCAATCTTAAAATCAAGCTCCCAAGAAAACATTGTGGACTTTTTACCTGTTCAGTGGGGGGGGGGGAATATCAATGGTCTGAAGGTGACACAAATGTTTTTGGCAAGTGAGCCACAAATGGGACAATGTATGTAGAAAGGTCAACATGTACTTAAGTAATCTTGCTCGATTTGTTTCACATCACGGTCATGTAATAGTATAAGCTCAGACATGCAACTGGGAATTTAGAAATAACGAGTAAACTCAAAACCGCATAAGACTTTGTACAGTGTTTTTAATTTTTAATGGCATTCATGAGAAGTAAAAAAAAAAATCAGCCAATCCGTGAAAAAGTTGCATGCCTGTAAAGCTTAGTTTTGCATGTTAATGGCAAAAGCACAGATTAGACAGCTGAAAAGTTTAGTAAATTATCCGAAATCACTACAGTTCAGATGGTAGCACAGAAGAAACTCCCATTATTCTGGAGCTGACCGATGGAGGGCCCGATCATCGAACAACCTATGGGTCTGTTCAGGTATAAAAGCTATCTTATTAAAGCATGAAAAGGCCAGATTTTGTACGTCTGCTGTCATTTTGTATTTATGCCACCTCTAGAAGAAGTGGCACAAAGGGCTTTGATTGATGTGTGCGCCTGTTAAAGAACTCCGACTAACTTGAAACATAAATAACTTAAAGTTACTGATCCTGTGATATTTTTTAAAATTCTTATTTACATTTAGGTTTCCCACAAAAGCAAGTTCATCCTGCTTGACCTTGACCTTCTCATAGCTATGCACACTGCATCGATTGGCAGTTGGGCAAATTTTGCAGAGAGGCTGAACACACTACTTAACCTGGCCTTGCAGAATGTGGCACTACATCGTGATGAGATTGAAGATTCAATCGAAAATATCACGAAGTGAATTGTCTACCATGCAGTTAATTTGTGTGTGCCTTCTGTATACATGTACGTGTACTAAATTTCCAAAATGTCAACCCTGTCCCCAAATTTGCTTCACAAAATGTGTTGGGCCCACTTTTTTTTTGTCTTTCACTTTAGGACATCAGAACAAGAGCAAAGAAAATGCCAGCATTCAAAGATGCACTTCAGCAGTCAGTATCTCCTGTCATTGAGCTTCTAAATGGCCGGTTTCATCACCTAAAACTCAAGAGCAAGGAAAACATCACCAAATCAAAGTGCAAGCCCTTCACATTAATGGCATAAAAGGGTCTCCATTGCTGCAGTTTGCTCAAAATTTTAAATTGCCAAAAAAAAGTGATTTACTTGGCGCCATTAGAATAATCGAAAAATATTCTTTCTTTTTCAGCAAGCTTCTTTTTGAGGATTTTTGTTTGTTGCAACAATGCAAATGGAATTATAATGCATGTGCAACAAACAAGATAGCATAGAGAAAACCATTGCATGCATCCGTTGTTGTACCGGTACATGTAGATCTGGTCCCTGTCGTCTCAGGTTATGAAAGGAATCAATTAAAATAATTTGGGAACGAAATATGACATTGTATTGACTTGTTCTATTTTCATATTGTTGGCCATTAGCATTTATTTTTGATGGGGTAGGGGCTAGTACAATACCTCATAAATATTCATCGGGCAACTGCGGCATTTCATTGGTCCATTCCAGCAACTCAACCGTGCAAAAGTTTTTATTATAACACCTCACCCACAGATTCTGTGTCTTGATTGGCCGAGAGCGAGTCACATGTTACTTTCTAATTTTGCTATCTTTCTGTTCACGGCCAAAAGTACTATACCCTTCGCAACCAAAGAACTATACCAGCGCCCAAAGTACTATTTCCACGGCGCAGTATTTGTGTGAAAATGGATGCTTGTGTGCGCGTTGCGCGTATTGTTCCAAAGAGAGCGCGCCGCAGACTTGGGTTCAAACATTTCGTGAAGGGGTAGTTTGGAAGAGAGAAATACATTTTTCACCAATTTTGTATTGAAATTGAAGTTTATTTCAACTGTGTTCAGATTTAAATAATATACAAATATTGAATGTTTCGAGTGGTGTAGTAAAACTAAGCCTGCCGAGGTGATCCATGGCCATTCTATTTTCCCGAGGCGAAGCGAAACGACTAAGGGAGTTGATTTACAGGTCTGAATGCCAAAGTTTTAATAGCAAAGTGAATTTTTTTTGTATACACAAATAATCTCAGCCTAATGGGACGCACTGGGTAGCGCAGCTGCCCAGTAGGAATAAATACGTTAAATAAATTCCCATAGCACCAATACCCCCACATGAAAACATCAGGGAAACATCAAAATAACGGTTGATAAATCGTCTTTAAACTCCACCCGTGACGTCACCCTATTGTTCTAGCGCTCCATTATTTTGCACGAATGGAGCGTTGGAGGCGATACCTCTCCATTCTTTGGGAGGGTTATAATGCCTCCATCACTCCATTCCTACAAAATAATGGAGCGGGAAATAAAGAAACACCAAAAATGACACAGATATATCTTTGCACAGTTGCAACTTTACTACACCGTTTCTCAATGATAATTTTATGCATTTTCTTATAAATTTCGTACAATGCTTAATACGTTAGTCAACAACCATTTTTGGTCGCACAGAATTTTCCCTTTAGTCCTACACCGTTTCTCAAGAGGAATTTTATGCATCATTCGTACGATTACGTGAAATTTAGGAACCATTTATGTTTCTTATACAGCATGCTTCACCGTTTCTAAAATAGAATTTTATGCATTTTCTTATACAATTTCTTACAGTGTTAAGGCGAAAGTCAAGTACCATTTTTTTCTTGTACAGAATGTTCGTATATAGTCATGTTACATGCAACAATATAAACGTTTCAACGATATAAATGTTTCACAGTTAAAGGGAATATACATCATTTGCTTTTGCTGTAATTTTCAGAAATGGATGGAATTGGGGGGTTGAAAATATATAGCAAATATTGGGAAATTGTAAGGTAAGGGAACCAGTCTAGCTGGCTCGTACCAGTTCATAGGTTTGTAATCGATTGCAAACAAGTGCGATGGTCAATTGGGGCCAGTATTTGAAAAAAAGCCAGTTTTTTTTCCAACGCTGATCAGCCGATCAGCGTTGGAAATTGATACAAAAATACCACTTTTCTTGAAAATGACAGTATACCAGGTGCCATGATTTTACAGGATGCTTTACACTGTCATTCACTAACAGTCCAGCAGGATATTTCAAAATGATTTGGTAGTTTTATTTTTTGATGTTTGCAAATGTTGTATTTTCCCTTTAAAGCAAATATTTTGACAAGGTTTGCAGTACAGTTTATATCTCGATCTTGTTCCTGGGTTTCAATGCCTAGTATGCAGTCCTAGAAATTCTTGATCGGCAAGAACTCATCATCCTGAAAAAAATGTGTAGGTCTTTTCCATGATGTCCAAGAACAGTTGAAGGAAAATCACAAGTTCGTGCAATGTAAACCCGAAAGACTTGTAGCCGTTTTGCTTTAAAAATGCACCAAAATCTTAATCTTGCAATTTGAGTGGTTTTAGCTCGTCCTTCCTTGTCCAATAATGAGTAATTATAGTCTCGAGTTGCGTTGGTTACGAAGTAGTCCGACTGGAGATTGCCCGCTAGTTTGGACCCTCTTCGTGACACTATCCATAGTCTGTAAAGCCAGAATTAGAAGAAAACAAAATCAGAAAGTGGGTCAAACAATGAGACGGAAGCATAAGGTCATATTCCTGTAAATCCACTTAAGTCTTACAAAGCCGTAAAAGTCACAGGGCAGCTTTGACGATTGCAAAATGACGACACAGAGAGCTTCGAATTAGAACAGTCTAAGTGCTAGCCCCATAAATGTGGCCTATTTACTGGACTGCCTCCGTAAACATAGGCCACACATCCACATGTACAAAAACGTGTCGACTTTGCCAAATTTTGATTTTCACATTTAGGCTTAGTTTGTAGGATTTTTTTGCTTTAGAAGCATACTCACCCTCTTTATAGGCTAATCAGAAAGTGCTGCCTTTTTCAGATGTCTAATTTTTGTGAAATTTCATGTTGAAATTTTGATACGCAAACGTGTAAAAATGAATCTGGAAATTTCACGAAAAATATACATCTGATTTTCGCATTTAGGCTTAGTTTGTAGTTTATTTTTGCTTTAGAAGCATACTCACCCTCTTTATAGGCTAATCAGAAAGTGCTGCCTTTTTAAAAAATCAGATGTATATTTTTCGTGAAATTTCCAGATTCATTTTTACACGTTTGCGTATCAAAATTTCAACATGAAATTTCACAAAAATTAGACATCTGAAAAAGGCAGCACTTTCTGATTAGCCTATAAAGAGGGTGAGTATGCTTCTAAAGCAAAAAAAATCCTACAAACTAAGCCTAAATGTGAAAATCAAAATTTGGCAAAGTCGACACGTTTTTGTACATGTGGATGTGTGGCCTATGTTTACGGAGGCAGTCCAGTAAATAGGCCACATTTATGGGGCTATCTTAGTGCAAACACGATTTCTGAATAAACTCCATCAGATAGCAAATTAAACAATAAAGCTTAATGTATCCGACATTAATTATCATGCTCAAAATACAACATTTAAATTTTTGATTTTATTAGCTTATTTTTACTTCACAAAAAGGGTAACTTCTTACCTTCATACTCATACATGCAATCTTCATATTCATTTGGAGTGTCGAAATGAACTTTTATATGTCCCAGGCAAAGTGTGAAGCGGCCAGTAAATTATCATCCGATATATCCACGGAGCTAGTTTCAGCAACTATCAAAGACGGTTTCCTGGCCCGCTATGATTCCACTGTATCCCCCACGTACGGCATTATTTCCTCAACGTCTTGAGACTAAACACTGCGTGTCATCAGCACACTATTCAAGAACGAATGCATGGTGCCTGGGCGAGGTTTAGCATTTCATACCAAGCGCCTAGAATCCAGCATTGTATTGGTTACGTAAGAACATATTCTTATTCGCAGTACAATTCTGTAGGCTACAGTTCCATTTATACTAATGCAGTTTACAGTTATGCAATAAGACAAAGCTTGTGTCTTTGTATGAAACAAAATCGCTCCATTCGTGCAAAATAATGTAGCGCTAGAAACAATAGGGGGACGTCACAGGTGGAGTGTAAGTCGGATAATGCCGCTCGGTAACGCGCCATTCGTGGTAAGAATGGCCCGAGGGCGAAGCCCTCGGGCCATTTTCACCCACGAATGTCGCGTACCTAGGGCATTATCCTTTACAGATCCATTTTTCTTGACTGATTTATCTCGAGATTATTTCAGATGGTTTTTGATAGGCGCATTAAAGTCTCCTAAAACTGTAGTCTGCAACACAGAAGTAACATTATTTTACCTTTCATGCAAACTCATCACACAAAAACCCAATTTGAATAAAGTACATAAAGACAAGGAACATTAGACTACAGGGAGGTACCGTCACTCACATTACTTCCTCTTCATGGTTTCTAACACGGCATAAAATCTGAGTTTGATGCACTGCAACATAGTGAAACTCTTTTTTTTTTAATATGAACCTTTCTCTCTGCCTTAAACACAAAAACTCTCAATTACAGTCACATTTTGCATGTTAAAACAAGGTGCCAAAATGACTACCAAAAATCCATGATTTTATGCCAAAAAAAACCTTTTTTTACCCAAAATCACACTTTACCAAAAATCACTACATTCCATCTCAATGGCACACCACTCAAATGAAAGATGATGTTTTCCCCTTTTATTTGACACCACATGTGACATTGTAATGCTTGCATTTTGGAAGATTTCATACCGTTTCCACTTCCCAGCAGGCTCCTTTTTTTTTGCGTGGAATTGTCCATTTGCAGATTATCAAAACCAGATATTGCTCCTATAAGAGAAGTAGGCGGGGTTAAATTGTTTTTCTTAAGACATGGGAAAATCAGACTTTCGTAATAAATTAACAGCTACAATTTATTCAAAGTTCCGGTACATGTGAATCGGAGGTTCTTTGGGGTAATCTATCTAACTGTACCAGTAGTTGGTGCTAAAAAATGTTTAAACAAAGGGGGATAAAATGCATGTTGGAAAATGTTTTTGACTTTTGACATAGTCAGTGGGCTTACAGTCGAAAATGACCTCCCTTGCATTTTCAGGTACATTCTTTGAAACCCTCGGGATAACTAATAGACACCCCAAGAAGTTCAAAACCACTTCATGCCATTTTTTTCTGACCCCTTTATGGGTGGGGCCATGACTTTATAAATTGGGGCCTTCATGCGCAAAAAATGATTCGAATTATTTTACTTCTCTTTTTAGCTTTCGGACAGCTCACCCAAGAGCATGTACCGAGTAAAAATATCCAGAATTTTCTCCTCTTCAAGGTTGGGGCCACATTTTAATAAAGCAGGAGGCAAATGTAATTAACAGAAATCGAGCTGTAACGGACATTTCTTTGTTTTTGTTTCCCTTTCAGTACAGGAAAGCGGCTAGACAGAATGCTTGCCTGTCAAATCATAAAATAAAATTTTTCTTTTTTGGGGGGTGTGTCACACTTTTGTATAAAAAGGGGGCATATTCCAAAAGTGGGCTTGAGGGAGCCCGGATGTTCTGTTCGTCGAACAGACATAGCTCTAGTTATTTCTTGAATATGGTCCATGGAGGGGTGACCACTGCCTGAATCCTGCAAAATCCTACGGCAGCACACTGTCAATGTGTTGAGGCTTGGCCAGTGACATCTTGGAGCAGTACGGGGGATTTCAAGCATAATTACGCCTGGGCGGTAACGGAATTACGCCATAGGTTTACATGTAATAGGTAAATGCAATACTTTTACATTGAATTCAACATAAACTCATCACTATACAAATTTTAGAAATTTTATAAAATGCCACAAGGGGAAAGCTAAGTGAAAATTAGCAGATCAAAATGTAAATGTAGGCCTAAACATTTCTGGGCTTCATTTTTTTGGTCAAAGGTCAAGGTCAAATGAAAGTAAAGTATATGTATATTTTTTATTACCGAAAATCGAATTTTACTATGAACAATTGTATTATCGTATTTCACTAGTTTATCGTGGAAAATACAATAAAACTGCACTGGTTGGAATCTCTGAGCAAGGGAAGATGTTAAGTTATGCCAAGTAGAAGTACAAGTACAGTCTGGTACTCAACTTTCATATACTTGTTGTGGAATATATGTTCTGTGGGTACCAGACAACGGCTTTGGCAACACATATAAAAATTTTAAAGGGATGTACATCATTGGCTTTTGCTGTAATTTTAAGAAATGAACTATTTGAGGGGTTAGTATAATAGACCAAATATTGTTACACTGACATGTTTGAAGTTTTGCGTTCGTAAATGCTGGAAAACCAAGAAAAACAAAACTGTTCAAGTAGTCTGGTTCCTTGACTCCACTAAAGGTAAAATGGATCAATTTATAGATGCCGGAAAATTGGAGGGTAAGGGAACCAGACTAGCTGGCCTGCACCCGTTCATGAACATGTAACAAATAGCAAACAAAATTTGGACTGGAAAGAGTGTAAAGTTGGAGCAGTAGTTGAAAAATAGTTAGGTTTTTCCAACGGTGGTCGGCCGACCACCGTTGGAAATGTATACAAAAATATCATTTTCTTGAAAATTACTTCACACCAGGTGCCATAATTTTACAGGATGCTTTAGACTGTCATTTACCAACATCCTAGTAAGGTATTTCGTAAAAACTTGGTAGTTTTATTTTCTGATGTTTGAAAATGTTGTATATCCCCTTTAAGCATCCAAACAACTATTCACATTTTTTAAATAGTAAAAAAGAAAAAGTAAATGTAAAAAAATATTAGTGGAACACCTGATTATTTTTAATTGTATAATAGCAAATTAAAGAGGGAAATAATTGAACTAAGTAATTTAGTATTTAAAGTTATTGTCCAAGGTTACTTACATGCTAATCGCCTATTCAATATGTCATGTACATAATCTGGATGAAGTGTGCATACTTTGTGCATGCGTAATTCCGTTACCGTAAGTAATTCTGTTACCGTTTCGTAATTCCGTTACCACTTGGAAAAATCCCAAGAAATTACTATTTTCAAGTTTTTATTTTTCATTTATGTTTATAGTAGGGTCTTTCCTCAACATACATGATTTGAAGAAAAAAACAAGAAAATTTATTAAATTTGCCATTTTTTAGGTAACGGAATTACACTTTTTCACTGAATTCCCCATTTACTTTAGGTCTGGAAAAAGTACAAAAAAGGTTTAATTTGTAAATATTTATTTTTGACATTTTTTCCTCTCCCTCGTGTTTTTCCTGTTCTCGGATAGAATGTTGAGGAAAGACCCTACTGGGTCATTCCATGCCAACTCAACAAATGTTGCACACCATCACCTCTTGGATTTTTTTCTTTTTTGGTGTACTGAAAGATACTTAGGAGAAATGCAAATTCTGAAAATTTGGGGTCTCTACGACTTTTCGTTCTTGCGCAACAGCATTTTGAAATTTGAGGTGGGCGGGGCCAAAAGTGCGTCGCGTCACGAAATTCAATGTTTAAAGGGCCATATATTTAAAACTATACCCCCCAGACATTTCAAACTTGGTAATCTGGGCTATTTTTTGCTGTAGATTTCAAATATTTTAACAGAAAGAAAGTAGCCTGTTTCATTTTTAAGTTAAAGGGGCCCCAAAATGGCCCAAAACTCATCTGGACCAATGTTCGGGGGGGTGTAAGTCAAAAATTGAAAATATTTTTTCACCAATTTTTTTGCCTGTAATAGCCCCCAAGTGAAACTACTTTCATGTAAAATCTTACACTTATATTAACTTCATTGAATGAGATATAGCCCTTGCAAAAAGCAAATTGTTTATTTTTACGATAACTTTGACCCCCCCAAAAACCAACGTCAGACATTCCGCCCCAAATTTTGCTTCACATATGTTTGAGGTTGGTCCTTAGTGAAGTCCTCTGAAAAGTTTCATGTTGGTGTCTAAATGTCTTCAGTGGATAGCTGGGCTTTATATTATAATGAGTCTATATCTTACGATGCTGGTCCGTAACATACAAGTACACGTACATTGTACCAAGAATAACAGCAGTCGGTACATAAAGAATAAGTTGGGTATGAAACTTAGCTTACATTTGTACATGTAGACTTTTGATCAGTTGATATAATTGTTTACAGTTTCACAGGTGAAATTATGCATTCCTTGTGATGTAGTTTTGATGAAGTTGAATGAGTTGCATGATGGTTGGCTCACTAAGTTTGTATTGCCTTCCACTGCTATGTAGAAGTTCTGGTGTTGGTACGCAACACAACACATCAACAAATGGAATGTTACATTTATCTTCTCTTTGTGGCCAATAGAGAGTATTTGTTGATTCCGTCCTGTACATGAAGCGGACATACACATCCTCATGAAGTTGTGATACATCTTCTACAATAGTAATGTACCAAACATCATCATAGACCACACAAACATATTTTCCTGGGTTGAGGTCAGCTGCTACAATTGGTGCATGATGAGTTTCCTGCATGAACTAGGTTCCCCTTATCCATAATGAAAACTTAAAGATCAATCAGGTTAAAACCATAGACCCTTTACTCAAACTGAATCACTTCTCTTTGGTTCAGGTTAGTGCTATACTATGCTGTGCAAGTGAGAACTGGTTAATGTATACATGACATGCATGCTGTGTGATGAGCACATGGAAAGAATAAGACTCTCAAGTCATTTAACCTAATTTGCATATAATGCACACATAGGTCTACAAGCAACTGTTTATTGAGCAGGAAATGGGTAGTCTTGACCCAAGTCTATCAACAGTCTATCAACAGGGATTTTGTTGTGCTGGTTCCGTAAAATACAAGTACATGTACTTGTATATATGTTACGGAACCTGCAGCATCGTAAGATATAGACTCTTTATAAAGCCCAGCTATCCACTGAAGACAATTAGACACCAACATGAAACTTTTCAGAGGACTTCACTAAGGACCAACCTCAAACATGTGTGAAGCAAAATTTGGTGCGGAATGTCTGACGTTGGTTTTTGGGGGGGTCAAGTTATCGTAAAAATAAACAATTTGCTTTTTGCAAGGGCTATATCTCATTCAATGAAGTTAATATAAGTGTAAGATTTTACATGAAAGTAGTTTCAATTGGGGGCTATTACAGGCAAAAAAATTGGTGAAATTTTTTTTTTCAATTTTTGACTTACACCCCCCCAAACATTGGTCCAGATGGGTTTTGGGCCATTTTGGGGCCCCTCTAACTTAAAAATGAAACAAGCTACTTTCTTTCTGTTTAAATATTTGAAATCTACAGCAAAAAATAGCCCAGATTACCAAGTTTGAAATGTCTGGGGGGTATAGTTTTAAATATATGGCCCTTTAAACATTGAATTTCGTGACGCGACGCACTTTTGGCCCCGCCCACCTCAAATTTCAAAATGCTGTTGCGCAAGAACGAAAAGTCGTAGAGACCCCAAATTTTCAGAATTTGCATTTCTCCTAAGTATCTTTCAGTACACCAAAAAAGAAAAAAATCCAAGAGGTGATGGTGTGCAACATTTGTTGAGTTGGCATGGAATGACCCTACTATAAACATAAATGAAAAAAAATAAATAAATAAATAAATGATAATTTTACTATTCAAAAAATGTGAATAGTTGTTTGGATGCTTAAAGGGAATATACAACATTTGCAAACATCGAAAAATAAAAGTACCAAGTTTTTACGAAATACCTTACTAGGATGTTGGTAAGTGCAGTCTAAAGCATTCTGTAGAATTATGGCACCTGGTGTGAAGTCATTTTCAAGAAAATTGTATTTTTGTATACATTTCCAACGGTGGTCGGCCGACCACTGTTGGAAAAACCTAACTATTTTTCAACTACTGCTCCAACTTTACACTTTTTTCAGTCCAAATTTTGTTTGCTATTGGTTACATGTTTATGAACGGGTGCAGGCCAGCTAGACTGGTTCCCTAACCTTACCATTTTCTGGCATCTATAAATTGATCCATTTAATCTTTAGTGGAGTCAAGGAACCAGACTACTTGAACATTTTTGTTTTTCTTAGTTTTTCCAGCATTTTCGAACACAAAACTTCAAACATGTCAGTGTAACAATATTTGATCTATTATACTAAACCCTCAAAAAGTTCAGTTCTGAAAATTACAGCAAAAGCCAATGAGGTACATTCCCTTCAAATATGTGTTGCCAAAGCTATTGTCTGGTACCCACAGAAAATATATTCCACAACAAGTATATGAAAGTTGAGTACCAGACTGTACTTCTGGGCTTGGATGAAGTCATCTACTTGACATAACTTTACATCTTCCCTTGCTCAGAGATGCCAACCAGTACAGTTTTATTGTATATGCACGATAAACTAGTGAAATACGATAAAACAATTGTTCATAGTAAAATTCTATAATATTCGGTCTCTGGTCAGACCAAAGTTCCGGAATTGACGCGGCGATGCGGCTTTTTTTTTTTTTTTTTTTCTTCAAGCTTGGATTGTACAGACAAGGTGGGGTACTATTTTGCTTTTTTGGTGTCCTCATGTACATTGGTGTCCTCCATAATTTGCCTTGGTGCTCTCGATCATTTGCCTTGGTGCAATTTCCCATTCCTTGGCACTCTTTGGTAAAAAAAATTGAGGAGGTGCGGCAATAGAGGGCGATGTTGGAGCTACCGCGGAACATTTTTGGGAAAAAAAAGATTGACGCGCATGATTAAAATTGACGCGCGCGCTGACCAGAGACCGACTTATTTTTGGGGGGCCTAACCAGCAATGCAGCCATCACCAAACTGCTTTCATTTGACCTAGACCTTTGACCTAAAAAAATGAAGCCCAGACATGTTTAGGCCTACATTTACATTTTGATCTGCTAATTTTCATTTAGTTTTTCCCTTGTGCCATTTTATAAACTTCTAAAATTTGTATTGTGATGACTTTATGTTGAATTCAATGTTAATATATTGCATTTACCTATTAACCCTTCGAGCTTCAAGCCCAACAACTTTACGCGGAATGGCCACGGAGAGAATTTTATCACCACACATGTTTCTAGGTCAATAAGGCCAAAAAAATTAATAGTTGTGCTTCCGGTTACCCGACCGACCCTATTTTTAGGCTGTGACCCTAAAATTTTTATCGGCAATTCCAAAAAAAGAAGAAGAAATGATTGAATAAATAAAAATAAAAACCTGTTGTCTTTTCTGTCTTCACAAAATACCTCCCAACAACCCTTTTTGCGTCAAAAAAATACTGTCTACAACCTCACAAAAAAACAAACATGATACGCATGATATTTACTTCTAAAGATATAGCTCAAGCTATTTTTCAAATTTTGCCCTTAAATCGCTTGTAATTTGATACCTACATTGTAATTATGCCATGGTGACGTCAGAATTTTATTAACATCTTCGGACGGGGTGTAAGTTCATACCAGGTTTTATCATAATCCCTTAAATGGTTTGAAAGAAATTTGGTTCGTTTTGATTTTGATGCTTCTGTCTATATTTTAAATTCACCTAACTTTGACCTTCCGGTAGACCCTGAAGTAAAGGTCACGCGAGTTCATATATACGACAAAAAAAATCTTCATAAATTAATAGTCTATCTGATTACAATGTGTGAATATGATTGATCATTTTGTTCAAGAGTTATAGGTGAAAGCAGATGGTCATTTTTTTCTAACGAAAATCGCTTGTAATTTGATGCCTGATGACGTCAGAGGTAATATGCACCTCTCTGGATGACATGGATGAGGGTCAATACATGTATATGTTGAAAGTTACAAGTTCATACCATCAACCGTCAAGGAGAAAACCAGCCTCCCAGAATCCCCAAACAAACAAAAATTAATCGGATCAATTCTAAACAGTGGTGGGGGTTATGGTATTTTGTGGCAGGACTGTCTGACGATTTTGAAGGATTGAGGGGCTGGGTACCCTTCATTTGAACAAAGTGCAACCTTTTTGAATAGGAGGATTTTGGAGGATTGAGGATGAATGCATTTTGAGGCAGGACTGTCTGAAAGTTTTGAAGAATTTGAAGGTGCTGTTGTAAAATTTTGGAGGATTGAGGATGGTTCCTAGCAAAAAGGCCAGGAGGTTAGGGTTAAACTGTTACAATCTTATTGAGACAACATGTAGTATCACATTTCATATTAATATGCACAAATTGGGAAACGCATGGACGAATGATCGCGAAAACACGTACTGCACATTGTGAATAACAACACCAAGTACATGATATATCGAATCAGGATACAGATCAGGATACAGAAAGAAAGTTTCCTATCCAGGGCTTACTATTAGAAACTAGGTTGGAAATAAAGTAAGCACTGGGGACGAGGTATATACTGGACCACGAACACATTTAATTTGTTACTGTGCACCGTACATATGTATCCTGGTCTCCACTATCAATACCCCAAATGTGATGATACAATTTGAAGATTATTTTGCTGGATTCAACTCAAGCATTAAGGGAGATAATCCAGGGTAAATCGAAGCGAATTAGTGCAATGAATCATGTGTGCAAAAGACCATTCATGTAAGTCGGCAAAATGACGACTTACAGCAGATGTCGCCTTTCGTTGTAAGCCGTCACAAATTCTCGGGTCCCGAGAGTGCCGACTTATAGCCGGAGTTTACTGTAATTCACTAGATAATAACAAAGATGTGACTTCCTTGTTCTTTTCTCATAAATAAACAAAAACAATTTTCCCATTTTAACAAACTCACCAATGAAGATGTACAAAGGCCTTCATTCCAACAATAATGAGGAATTTGTGGAGGGTGTTAAGTAGCTTAATACACTCGGTAGCGCACCGTTTGTGGATGATGAATGGGTTCGCCTCGGGACATTCTCATCCACAGATGGCGCGCTCCTCGTGTATTATCCTTAACATTTACAGAGCATTTGTACTTTTAAAACCTGGCACAAATGGGCTTCGTGAAATTTCAAATTTCAAGAAGGGACGGGAATGTCCAAAATGACGCAAGTTCAATTTTTTTTTTATTTTGTTCTTTAAAACATTGCACTCAACCATTCCAACTTGCCTTAAGAAGCAACATTTGCGTAATTTCTTAATAACATTAATGTTGTAAGGGACCAACATTTCCATAATTGCAAACATAGTAGATTGTAAAAGTAAGCTTAACGTTTTCACAAGGACATTGCTGGTCATTTTGGCTTCTTTAAACACTTCCAATGATTATTAGTGGGTTCGCTACAAGGGTAAGCTTAACCCCAACTCCCTAGCATAATTTACTAAGAACCATACCCATCCTAACAAATTCCAACACCCACATGGGAAATCGTACACACACACAGTTGGACTTCGTTTCTGGAGGCATGCCAAACCCAATGTAAAAGACCATCAGTTTAGGGGTACTGTACCCATTCCAACAGATTTCAACAAAACTTGCTGTTGGGCTTTGATGGGTTGAGTTTGATAGGGTTAATGGCAATAATTAAGCTCTCTAAGAACCTCTCCATCTCAAAAGTTGTCTTTCTTAACTCTATTTACATTGTGGTGCCTTACTTACATTTGCCTGGGTTTCTTGGAACTTCTCTTCCCGCTGACGTCGGTATTTCTCTATTTCTTCTTGTGCCTCTTCTTTAGCTTGCTTTAACCTTTTGTTTTTCCCTGCAAACGTGATGAAAAATGCTGAGATTAAACAAATTTACAGTTCCACTTAAAATATTCTAAAAAAACATACCTTTGAGGCCCACACGAAAAGATCGCAGCGGTATGTCGAGGTTGTTAACAACCGTACAAAATGCAGTTTCACCGCACCAAAATCACTCATGCGAAGACAAGTTAATGAGGTAGGCATGGAAAGTGCACTTTTTTAATGTTAATGTGTTGATATATAAGGCCAATGTTTGAAGGAACGTCAGCGACTCAGCGATCACGTATTACGCAAATATAAGTTAAGGATGTGGTACATTACTGCGTTGATCGAAGGGGGATAACAAATTATCACACAAGCCTTGTACATGCATAAAACAAGGGGGCAGTTTGCAAGTGTGATTTAGGACAGGGATCGGAATTGGCATATTGTCATGAAAAAAAAGACAGCCAATTTTAACTCAAAACAAAACTTGTATTTAACAGATTAACTTCATTCTTCTGGTATGAGTATCAAAGATATACCATGTTAGAAGCCATATGGCTTATATTATGCCAAATGAATCAAATCCATTGACTTTGTGTGTGCATTGATACGGATACCTTGGTCTGCAGCACTTTATTTAATTTTTGTCCTTGGCAGCACGCTGCGTTACATGCACGTGTTAGTTCCAAGCCTGGCATGCTCGGAGTGAGCGAACGGAGGTGGACTCTCTAGTACAGGTGAGTAATTATATCTCTGACAATACTGTATGTCTATTAAAACATCATTCCAAAATCTTTGAAGCCCTCTGCAGTGAAGCGCTCCCTCTTGTAAGCACTCTTTATCCGCGGTCGCGTATTGCATCCTGGCACTTCACAGAGCGCCAAAGATTTTGGAATGACAGACAACAGCCGTGGTGGTGCGCTTTGCCAAAGTTGACGCATACTCTGTAGATGATTAAAGCTCATGTTTGGTTCCCTGACCCTTTTGGCCTCTTGACTATTATTAGGGTGACCAGGAAACAGTCTATTAAATATCAGAGACGCCATGCTTTTTCAAAACCGTGACGACTTTCCATGATTTTTGGATAACTAGACCTCTGAAGGTACCGAATTTAACAACTTTGTGCTTATTTAGCAGTCATACTATAGCTGGGTTGATTTTCTGCTGACAAAATAATTTCGATCTTTATTTAATTTTCGGCTCCCCTAGCAACGGGACACTCCGCTCACAGGCCGTACGTGGCTCTGTGACTGATATACGGAGGTAGTCCAGTGTTTCAGTCACATTTATGGGACTACTGTGTAACAACCGAGGGCGCACTTTAAGTATAATGTAAAATGAATTACTGAGTGCGGGAGCATACATTACACCTCCATTAATAAAGACCACACTACCACCATAATAAAAAACATGTCGAACTTTGTCAAATTCTGATTTTCACATTTAGGCTTAGTGTAGCTGAGTAACTCCAGCTGACATGCTCATATTCATTCACATGTAGCGCTGGAGACATAACCTAGTCGTGAGAGTGTGGTAGCAAGAGACCCTAAAATAATGGCCTCTCAAAAATTGTCCATTTTCACCTCTAATATCCTACCCCAGATTTCATTTACATACCTTATACATTCAGCAGTCATTCACGAAGGTAATGATCGACTTGAAATGGACCACACACACACACACACACACACACAAATCTTGACGATTTCGGTGGCTTGTCCGTAAAAAAATGCCAGTTCCAACGGTAGTCTGGTTCCCAGACCAAAAGATTCCGACTATTCCTGATGAATCTTAGGTCCGGTAGCCTCCGGTAATACAATGTATTACAATTTACGTCACGTGACTAAAACGGGAGGAATTCCTCCTTTTTTCCAAAAATTTCTGAAGTTTGCCGAAGTCGTTTCGTCAACTTAATCGGATAGCGCCCGAGTATTTCCGAGTATATAATATAGGTTTAATTAACTGCTTAGTTGCTTATTAATTTTATTTTAAATGAGTTGATAATTAATATTCATTGTTTTCATCTAGAAAACTTGAAATTCAAAGACGATTTTGTGCATCAAATATACTCGGATCGTACGGGCGAACTTTTTGCTGCGTCATGTACATTTTTTAATTTGATGACCGTTACCGAGATTTTCCAAAACTCAGTCTTCATTCGGCTCTGCCTGCTAACAGTGCTATTTGGTTCCCTAATTTTGAAGATTCCAGATCAACATTACTCAATGTTATCTTACAAAAACATCAAACTGTATTATCATAACTGTATGATATTACGAAGCAAGTGATTTATTTAAAGATTTGATCAGAACATTAAAAGCTACAAGTGATAAAGCGAAATCGGAAACGAAGCCGCGCTTTGAAAAAGGGCCATTAATGTCGTCATGTTTATTTTTAGCCACGGAGGCTGCCTGACCTACAATTTAAGACGTGAGCGTCGGGAATAATTGTCAGGTCTGGGAACCAGACTATTCCAACGGCTGTCGTCCATTTTGTTTTGTTAATTATGTAAATGTATGCATCACGTGATGACATCAAAAAAATCTGCGTGCGCGATGTATGTGGGTACCACACTGCTTTCAGACGCCGCAAGTGGGTTAAGTTTTCGTCTGGTGCGTTGTCGTGGAAAGCATTCTCATTTGTCTTGCTAATGCATATGGGCATGTTAGCTGGAGTTACTCAAGCTAGGCTTAGTGTGAAGTTTATGTTTGCTTTAGAAGCATACTAACCCTCTTTATAGGCTAATCAGAAAGTGCTGCCTTTTTCAGATGTCTAATTTTCGTGAAATTTCATGTTGAAATTTTGATATTTCATGTTGAAATTTTGATACGCAAACGTGTGCGAACGAATCTGGAAATTTCACCAAAAAATAGCCATCTGAAAAAGGCAGCACTTTCTGATTAGCCTATAAAGAAGGTGAGTATGCTTCTAATGCAAAAATAAACTGCAAACTAAGCCTAAATGTGAAAATCAAATCTGACAAAGTTCTACATGTTTTTGTACATGGTGAAAGTGTGGCCTTGATCCGCTACATATAACCATGTATAATTTTGCGCAGAGGTGAATCACTTACTAGTTGGGCTTCCTGTGAATTTACGCGAGTGTTGAATCTGTCATTGCCAAGAAATTTGATGTAAAGTACGGCACACAAACGAACTTGGCCTATGCATCGTGCGGGAATTTGCACGTCTGCACACTTGCAGTCATTTTTAGAAAAAATGAGATGGTGACTTGCTTACGTCACAGACAACTAACATTTGCAAATAACATTTGCGGGTCAATCCAGGTCAATTCCCGGTCGAACCATCTATTTTTAAACCGATTGATATTGCGCGCGGCCGATATGTAATCTGATACGTTCCCGTGCCACGGCTAGGTACCATGCATACATACTGCATACAAATGCGTATACATGTATGTACACATGTATTGGATGATCCAGGGGATCGGGGAGCTTCAAGTCAAATTTTTTTAAATGGAGTTACAAATAAGACTCTATCCTTGCTTCATTTTATTTTTGACCAAAATGCAATTGGATTACATTCCAAGTTACATAATAATACAGCAAACATGAAAGACCGTATAGATTCCTATATTTGTTGTGAATTAGCCAGTGGAAAACACAGTACACTAGCCTTATTTAAGTTAAATAACTTTTCAATTTGAAAATTTCAAATCTGAACCTAATGGTTTTTACAACGATACCAACAAAAAATAAAGTTGACATCCTGCCGAGCGGCAAAATTTTTACGATACCAACAAAAAATAAAGTTTTTTTACAACGATACCAACAAAAAATAAAGTTGACATCCCGCCGAGCGGCAATCCAGAAATTTATTAGCATCGGAACTCCCAACTTCTTGCAGTCTTTGTCCAGTCTTCATGTCATTTTTAAAGTTTCTTATCCTTTTTTCCCCAGCATATTTTTTAAGTTATATTTGATTGTCATACTCATAGTACTAGCCCTGGACGGATAAGCACCTTGTCATTTTGCTGTCAGTCTTTTTGTTATCATTTTAAAATTTATTATGTTTTTACAGGCATATTTTATTCATAAGTTATGTAATTTAAATGTAAGTTATATCATGCTATTGTCAGTTCCTACATGTTGAATGCTGTTTTTACTGTTTTTACTCTATCAGCCATTCCATGGTGACTCGCGTGACATTTGAACAAAATGTAAAGTTTTAATGCATTACTGTTGTTAACCTGGCATTTATTCAACTCAAATTAGCATGTATTTTGAGTCAGGGCATTGTGAATTTATGGTTTAGTTTTTATATGATTACTTTAAAATCGCTATTTTTTCATGTATCACAGTTTCTTTGACGTGACTCGCATGACAGGATAGAAAAAGGGATTTTTGACATCCCTCGATTTAAATAGCTTTTCCTATGGATCTACCAGTGTTCTAAAAATTATTCTTACTGAACTTAGAACTTAATACCCTCATCCAATACATGCATAAGTTGTATTGTGCCAAATATCCCTTGTTGTAAGAAATGGCCTGAAGAAAATGTGACTCGCGTGACACAAATTGCGTGACTCGCGTGACACAGTAGCTTTTCACTTTCACATGATAACTGTAATTTTAGTATAACAAATCAAATCATAATATTATATTAATAAAAATGATTTACCTGTGAATACCTTATGAAAGAGTGTGAAAACTGCTATTCCTACAAATAGTGTAGAAACTTGGATAGAAGGGATACACAGGCTTAATAGGGAGACACCTAGGTGTCTCCCTATTGGCGCAGCCCCCCTTTAGAGGAAAAATTGTGCTGTCGAAATTAGCTTATATTTGTTGCTCGTGGTCTAATTAGTAAAAATACCAAAGTTTGTGGAAAAAGGACAAGGAAATAATGGGTTAGGGCACATTTAATTCGGAAAATTTTTGTGCACAAGTCTATGGGAATGTCTCCCTATTACCCCATTGCCGGTAATTATTATTTATCCCTTTACTTTGGCGAATGTTGGGGGTGGAAATCTGGTTTAAACACAAAATCCTTAACAATGACGTGGAGAG